CAACGGTTTCTGCCCGCCTCCGCACCACCACCACCACCACCACCATCACCACCACCACCACCACCACCGGGCCCAGCCGCCGCAGCAGAGTCACCACCCCCCTCACCACCACCGGCCGCAGCCCCATCTGGGCAGCTTTCCCGAGAGTTGCAGCAGCGACTCCGAGTCCAGCTCCTACTCGGACCACGCGGCCAACGACTCGGATTTTGGCTCCAGTTTGTCCAGTTCCAGCAACTCTGTGTCCTCGGAGGAAGAGGAGGAGGAGGGAGAGGAGGAGGAGGAGGAAGAGGAGGAGGAGGAGGAGGGGGGCAGCGGGGCCTCGGATTCCAGTGAAGTCAGCTCGGAGGAGGAGGACTCGTCCACCGAGTCGGACTCCAGCTCCGGCTCCAGCCAAGTGTCAGTGCAGAGCATCCGATTCAGGCGTACCAGCTTCTGCAAGCCTCCCAGCGTGCAGGCGCAGGCCAACTTCTTGTACCATCTGGCCTCCGCCGCCGCTGCAACCAAACCCGCTGCTTTCGAGGATGCCGGCAGACTTCCCGACCTCAAGAGTAGTGTCAAAGCGGAGTCGCCGGAGGAGTGGAATCTGCAGAGCTGGGCCCCCAAAGCGTCTCCGGTGTACTGCCCGGCCAGCCTGGGGAGTTGTTTCGCAGAGATAAGGAACGATAGGGTATCTGAGATTACATTCCCACACTCTGAAATTTCCAATACTGTAAAGAGAACTGACCTGACAATTAACTGCCTGGCAGAGGGGGCCTCTTCACCTAGCCCAAAGACAAACAATGCATTTCCACAACAAAGAATACTCCGAGAGGCTAGGAAATGCCTACAAGCAACTCCTACTACACACTGTGCAGATAACAACACAATAGCTGCTAGGTTCTTAAATAATGATTCTTCAGGAGCAGAAGCAAATTCAGAAAAAGATTCCAAAATCCTTCATTGTCCTGAATTTGCTACGGATTTGCCCTCTTCGCAGACTGATCCTGAAGTGAACGCTGCAGGAGCAGCAGCAACTAAAGCCGAGAATCCCTGCACTGACACAGGTGACAAGACATTGCCATTTCTGCACAATATTAAAATCAAAGTAGAAGACAGTAGTGCTAATGAAGAATATGAACCTCACCTTTTTACAAATAAGCTAAAGTGCGAGTGCAATGATACAAAGGGTGAGTTTTACAGTGTGACTGAGAGTAAAGAGGAGGACGCCTTGTTAACCACAGCCAAGGAAGGTTTTGCATGCCCTGAAAAAGATACTCCTTCCTTAAATCCACTGGCTCAAAGTCAGGGCCTTTCATGCACTTTAGGTTCTCCAAAACCTGAGGATGGGGAATATAAATTTGGTGCCAGGGTAAGAAAAAATTACCGGACACTAGTACTGGGAAAGCGACCTGTCCTTCAGACACCTCCAGTCAAACCAAATTTGAAATCAGCTAGAAGCCCTCGTCCTACAGGTAAAACTGAGACACATGAAGGAACACTGGATGATTTTACAGTTATAAACAGACGCAAAAAGGTAGCCAGCAATGTAGCATCAGCAGTGAAAAGGCCATTTAATTTCATGGCAAATTTTCCTTGTCCACCATCACTCATTATTGGGAGAGATGGGGACTTGTGGCCGGCGTATTCCTTAAACACCACTAAGGATTCTCAAACTCCTCACAAGGCCCATCCTATATGGAAATGGCAGCTGGGCGGTTCTGCAATACCTCTTCCACCTAGTCACAAATTCAGGAAATTTAATTCATAAAAATGTTTTGGAAGATATTTTCTTGAAGCATATTACCTTCCTTTTGTTGTAAACTGCACAGGATGGTTTGTACAAGTCCGTTAATGTGTTACACCCCCTTTGGAGTCCTGGTTTATCGCATTTTGAAGACAGAAATCGGATTACTTTTTTTCCGTTGCGGGTTTTTTGTTTTTTTTTTTTTTTTTTTTTTTTTTTTTTTTTTCTGGAGTAGGGTGGGGGTGGGGTGGGAGAAGGGTTGGTTTACATTCCACAGACTACTTCAGGCTAAAGACTCAAGTAAAACTCAGTTATTACGGTAGAGCTGGAACACTTTACTGTTTCAATGCTAATAATGCACCCGGTACCTCAATTCAACTGCTACAAATAAATGTCAAAAGGTTGAATAATAAATATTACAATGAGCCATTAAGTTTATGCACTAGATTTCAGAGCTGAAAGTGTAACTGTTAATTCAGTGAAAGTTTGTTAGGTTACATGGTTACACAGTGAGGTGAGGTGAGGTAGCAAGAAGTTTCTGTGAGCCCAAAATGTTATTTTCTGGAGCTCTTGTTTGTGGGGTATCTTTTTCTTTTGACTCCCCTCATTCTCTCTTCAAGAGTAGTTGCACTTAACTTTTTTTTTTTTTAGTGGAAAGATTGGGGTGTGAGTCCTGATTAAATGCTAGTAAAAGCTGCCTCATACATACTGAGTAAAATAAATATGGAATTGTATTTTTTTTGTAAAGGGTGTGATTTTACTTTTAAAGCCACTCCTTGCAATTGGAAAAGTCCGTTTTGTGTTCTCACCCAAAGGTTTTAAATAAGGTGACTCTTACTATAGTCCTGCTTATCTTGTGGTCTGAACATGACTCTTCAAACTCCCAAAACAATTGAAATATATATATATGGTTTTTTTGGTTTGTTTTTTTTAGAAGAGAGTCTCGCTATGTCGCCCAGGCTGGAGTGTAGTGGCACAATCTCAGCTCATTGCAACCTCCACCTCCCAGGTTCAAATGATTCTCCTGCCTCAGCTTCCTGAGTAGCTGGGATTACAGGTGCACGCCACCATGTCCGGCTAATTTTTGTATTTTTAGTAGAGGCAGAGTTTCACCACGTTGACCAGGCTGGTCCTGAACTCCTGACCTCAGGTGATCCGCCTGCCTCGGCCTCCCAAAGTGCTGGGATTACAGGTGTGATCCACCATGCCGGGGCTGAAATATTTCTCTTAATAGCAGAATATTTTATGGTTGAACTCTTGATAGTGACAAATCAGTAAATACAACCAAGAAAAAGAAAATGAGAGGTCAGAGTTGCAATACCCCAAATGAAAAATAACAGTTTTTTCAGGGCTTTTTGGTACCAGAACTCAGGCACTTGGATTTTATTACCTTATATTTTTTCTGCATCTCTCTAAAACTTCTGTTTTCAGACCATCCTGTGTATAGAGCAGGAGAGTTTCTACTGCAAGTGACAATCAGAGGTGACTATATTTGCACTTAAAATCAAAGTAGTTCAACATGCAAATGCTAGGGTCTAGCCCTGGATAAGGGCCATGCTGGTGTACTGTGTTGTGATGATGGAAGCAGTAAATCAAAATTATGGAAATTTGCACTGTTGAAAAGCATGCTTTAGCTTTATTTTCAATTAAAAACACTGTTTAAAATTCCTGGTTCCATACATTTCTACTTATTCCAGATTGAAGAAGGGTTAACAGGATTGAATGGTTTTGTTGACATTTTCACTTGTAATGTTTTTACCTGAAAAAAATGCATTTATTGGGTGTGGTGTTTTGTTGTAATACTATGGGAGGGAGGCCAGTCAGGTTCTGTGCAAAACACTGGTGGATTTCTTTCTAAGTAACAACAAAACTTTACCAACTTGTTACAAATCAAGTAGGAAAAGTTTCAGGCTTAAGAAAGTGAAGCAGAGATCAGTGATTGTTTTAATGAAAGTTGAATCTAATAATTTCTGGCCCACTTCCTTTAGTCTGACAACTTATGTATCTCAGATCCTTGCTATCTTGAATCTAAGAAGTTGCATCTATAGATCATAAATCACAAAACAAAACAAAACACCAATGAAATGTTTACTGTGTGAATTTAAGTCACTATTTCTCATGGAAATTCAGTCTATTGTTTTTGTTTTTCCTTAACCTTTTAGTTCCTATTCCCTTTGAAATTTTCCTTTTGTCTATAAATGTTTCAGATAGATCTGGATGGTCTCAGCCCCTAATTGCTGAATATGCTGTGTGGTTTTCCTCTTATTGTAAAGGACTGAGGCTGAGAATACCTGCATCCAAATATATTTGGATGGAGTAAACAGATGCTTTCAACTGCCTTCCTTTCTTTCCTTCTTGAATGTTGCCATACCAGGTGTAGGTTCACTGGATTATTTTTTATTGGAATGGTAGATATGGTCAAAGTAAAAATTTGGGGATGGTATCCTTGAATTCTTGTTTGTATATAATTCCAAAGACCAGTCCATGTTATAGTTAAAGCCCCAGAAAGCTAAACAATTGGCTTTATAGTCTGAGTTCTTTTCTCTTTGGGAGGCAATACAGAATTTAGGTGCAGTAAGTTGTCCTGAAAAATCAATCTGGTAAAAAGTGTGACACACACATTGGAAGTGTGTAATTTCTACTCTTTAATTACTTCTAAGTTAAGAAAGTTCAAAGTACGGTGACTACTACATGTACACTAGTACTTCTCTAGTTGGCTAAGGACTCATTGTTCCTAAATTATACAGCGAGAATATATTTGAAGTCTATAGATTTTGGGTGTGGAAGGACTGTAAGATGGAATAAGCATAATTTAAAAGAAATATACCCTATGGAATTTCTGACATAAAATATTGGCCTGCAGCTTTGACACTTAGTCTCTAACCCTCATAGAATCAATAGTTTCAGTTTATAGGAGCTGGAGAATGAACAGCATGGAGGCCGAGGCTTTCCAGGGTGATACCATCAAAAGGAAAGAAATTAAATAGTCAACACAAATTTCACCCCACAGTACTACTATAAGCCAGCCAACCACAGCAAAACCTGAGTTAGTGCTTCCGTAAGGAAAGAGTACCAAATAGTATGCAGTAACTTGCAAATACAAGGTATTCTTTCAATTCCTGCTAGCCCTTTAGTTGTTTCCCCATTCTGATGTGGGAATTATTCTCAGTACTGTTTATATTATTTTGGTTGTTTTATGATTAATGACAATATCTAGACTTTTCTAAGCTGCTATAAATGTCCCATTTGTTCAGAAAGTTAAGCCTTATTGAGAGAAAAACAAGTTAACTCCATTGATAGATTACATTTTTACATTTAGATGTTTTCAGGGCATAGAATTAAAAACAAACAAAAAAACAAGCACTATATGGCTCCGGGGTGACTGATTCCTGTGTCTAAAGTCCAACATTTAGAGACATGAGGGAAAAAAGCAGGAAAAGGCTCTTTTTCTAACTTTTTGGGTTAACAAACTTATTTTTGGTCTCCTATAAAAGTGATTTCCTGGTAAGACTGTGAAATGAAAATTTAAATTTTTTTAAAGAGATGTGTGTACTCTGTCTTCCACAGTTAGGTTATCCGCCTTTATAGAAAATGCAGCTTGCTCTTTTTCAACTATTTACTTTTTAAAGTGGGTGTTCTTTTCTACTGGCTTACTTGATTACAGTGGAGTAATCTCAATAATGGTTGTTTATTTGAAAATCAACAAGGAGCCACCACTAAACAACAATAACACAAACTACATGGGGCTGGTGTTGGATTTTTATCTTTTGTGTGTCTGGGTGATTTTCAATGGTCTAGAAATTCCTCAAAGTTCTAATCAACAAAAATTGGGAGTTTCTGCTGATATGAGAATGACAGTTTTGTTTGCATGCAGGAAGAGATGTAGAAACTAATTCCTCAAAAGCATTTTTTTTTT